AATTCTCTTTTCCTGGATCAAAATGATCTTCCTTATAGACAGCTTTGACATTTCTGTTGCTGCATAGCATTGATAGATGTGTAGAATGATTTGCCATCATGATCAGTTCATATGGACTTCAATTGTGTTTGCATTATAATACGCTGCTGTATATTGCTGGTCATTCGCTGCATTTGTAAGACAATTTATGACAATTATTTTTATTAAAAAAGAACAATGTTTGTAATGTGATCTTGATGTCTTTTCACTCAAATATGAAGAGGTAAATACGACTTGAACTTGCTTGAATCTAAGACTTAATGATGACATCAGTCCTAAGCTTGGTATAACAAGATATGGAGACACTAAAAAGATAGAGAAACAGAAAGGACAAAAAGAGGGAGTGAATTTAATGGTAATTCAAACTTATAACACAAGTAATGATTGTCAGTACTCATCGGTAATGGGTTTGAGACATAATGATATAACTAGTCAATTGCATTCATGTATACATGTACTTGTGCTGTACTCAATCAGTGAGTCAGTGACATAGACATGTGACAATTCAGTTCCATTACAATTAAAAAGTGTTCCATTCACTCAAATACATGTACATTACATACATGTATGCATCACATACCATTATGAATGCTTCAGCCCATCCAACAAGTACAGAAATTATATAAAATGTTCCATTGTTTGAGTTCATCTTGACACATCCTAATAAATACAAAATAGAATAATTGAATGTACATAAAACAAGGTCTCACTGCTTCTTGATTATGAAAATAAGTGTAATTCACTGTATTAAGAGAGCGAGACAGAGATAGTAATTTAAGTATACGATGCTGATGCTACACTTACTTCTTCAAATTAGGCATTTCTTTTATCATTAATTGGCAAGTATTTGTCTTTCCATTCTCCTGTACAATAAATGACACAATAAATTACTGACCAAAAGACATATCCTACTCTCTTTACATGTACATGTGTGTATATATATGTAATGTACTATAGTGTGCATTGTGTCTTAATTACCACAACGTTTGTTAGCATGTGTTTCTGTTCCCACAATATTTGCCAGATATTTCAGCAAGTGCATTTGATGGGACCTCAACAGACAATGCAGTTATGCCTATAATAATATTGTAATAATAACAATGCTGATGTATACAGCTGCTCACTTGCGCTAACGCGA